ACCAAATATCCAGGCTGTACTTCTGCCAAAGAAGACCCAGGCCAAAACCAAGTAGATTTCATCAACCAGCTTCTCAAACCAAACGGCTCTTTTCAGAGCCACCAAATAAACAAAAGAGATTTGAGTTTCATCTTGCTTGTAATAAAACTTGTATTGATTGTTTTTTTCTTCAATATATTTTACCAAAAAATGGCGCATTTTAGTAATCTGCAGTCCCGCTCTTTCTATACTAGTTTAGATTCGAGTGCATAACGCAATAGCATCTCACCTACTTATTCATGGAGGAATACGTTTTTCTACCAAAATTAATACCCTTTAGCTTCAGTTTCTAGGTTTAGGTTCGAGTAATAAACTTAAACCTCCATACAACTAAGCAAAAGTGGATTTCATATCTGGCATGGGATCCCGGAGGGAAGACGTGAAAGTGGGTAAAAATATGGCCAGATGCTCTGCGGTCAAGTTGTGGAATTCGCTTGATGTTTCACTGAAAAGTGAAACTAACACATGGTATTTTAAAATTTGAAGTTAAGAGGCTCTAAGTCCAGAAACAGATCCACTTTTTTATAAGAATTTTGTATTTTAAGATGGCGTATTAAGACCTTTTCAACAACAAAAAAAAAGTTCAGTTTTTTGACACTGGTTGCTTGGCACTGTGTTGTTTCTTTGCACGAGCTTCGTTGCTTACTGACCTACCTTGTGTTTTCTGTTTTGATGACATGTTTCTTACTGTTATTTTCTTTGCTGGGATCCTCTGAGGACCTTGGATTTCATCCCTGAGCAGTCCCCCGGGATAGGTAATAAAAAAAAAGGAAGAAAGGGCAAGGGCCCGTGGTCGACAGTGGCCTCCATTGAGTCCTATCCATCACTCCTCTAACAGACTTGTCCAGTTGGAGACGCCCACAATTAACAAATTTAAAAAAAATAATAAATTCCTTTTTTTAATAACCTTATGTGGATTATTTCTATATATGCACAATCATTTTTTATTTACACACTTAGTGCTGTGTCCTTGCGTTGTCGTTGGGCCTATTGTATATTACCCGCCAAATCCCGTGTTTCCATAGCCAACACCGCCTTAACATTCTGATCACAATTAGCAAATTTAAACAATGTAATTCCTTGTTTTTAATATACTATGTGGACTACAAATACAAGACAAGACCTATTTTATACAATATCGATTTCCAACCCAAAAGTCTTTCACAGCCGGGCTCATAGGCCTAAACTACAGAACAGTTGTTTACTACTAGAACTCACTCTGAACATGGATCAAGTTAGGCCTTTAGTAAATACAGTATCCGACTTGGTAGTATTGTTGATATTTTCTGTGAAGGGGAACCTCAGCCACTAATCTAAACTATTACAACGTTGTAAATCATAATAATTCAATTCAATTAATTAACCTTTACAATAATAGTAGATACGTTGTCCTTGTCCCAATTTACACAAAGACCTACACAAAGCCGGGCTACAGTATTCAATTAATCGCGCGCTTTCAACATCCAATAGGAAGCGTTAAGCCGATAAACGATTACCGTGAAGCCCTATTTTGCATATCTAACTCTATAAGTACTGTGCTTCATTTCAGCGCATCACTCATCTACTATATTCGAATTCGTGTAGACTAAACTGAAAGTATGCCTCCAAAAACTTCAGGAAAAGCTGCCAAAAAAGCCGGTAAGGCTAAAGCCGTCAGAGCTGGCGACAAGAAAAGGAGACGTAAGCGAAAGGAAAGCTACAGCATCTACATCTACAAGGTGTTGAAGCAAGTTCATCCAGACACTGGTATCTCCAGCAGAGCCATGGGAATCATGAACAGCTTCGTCAATGATATCTTTGAACGTATTGCCGGTGAAGCATCTCGTCTTGCTCACTACAACAAAAAATCCACCATTACCAGCAGGGAAGTCCAGACCGCTGTCCGTCTCTTGCTGCCTGGTGAATTGGCCAAGCATGCCGTCTCTGAAGGTACCAAGGCTGTCACAAAATACACCAGTTCCAAGTAAACATCTTGCCTAGTTTCAAACCAAACGGCTCTTTTCAGAGCCACATAAAATTTCAAAAGAGATTTGTGAATTTCAGTGTCTGTCGTTTGCACTTTTCTTCCCCTAATGATATTAGTAAGCGGTTAGTGAAATACACAAATAATTCGAAAATGTAGATACACAAATAATCCGAAGCAGGGAACGGTTAAATTAAAATTTAACCATTTCCTGATTCGAAGCAACACAACATTTATTCTACCAGGAAAATTATCTGCTGGCTATATTTTTATTGAAAATAACTCCATAAATAGCTTGGCCTGAGTGTCAGGTTCTATATATCAATCACAGACAATGCAATATTTTAATTGTGGGGGACTATTATACAAACGCACTCTTATTAATTAGGTAGGCCTAGTTATAATAATAAAAAAAAAAATTAACCTGTACACGTCGTGTCCCGTAATTTCATGTGCAAATAAGACTGTTGTTACCTGCGTTTATTTGCTACCATTTTTTTCAAGTGTTGGGTAAAATTTCATTCTTTCAAATGAAGGTTGTATAACCTGTTTCAAATATGGTCCTGTTTTGTGATATACAAAAGTACATTATCCTACATTAAAATTTAATAGTAAAAGCATGGTATTAAAATAGGTCCATGGTGAAAGTAATACTGTAGTAAGATTGTTTTAAGAAATGTATAAACAGTTTAGCCCTAAAATTGATAATAAAACTATATGCAAGTGTAAGAGTTTAAAATTAAGAGTACAGTATTTTTAAAAGTGGTAACTTAATTCAGATTGTATTAATTATATATTCTATTTTTTATAGTTTAACTTGAAATTAAAATAATCAGTTGATTCTGTTAATATATGTGATAAGGCATTCCATAACGTTTTCACCAGCATACAGTGAAGTCTTAGATTAAACTTACTTTTGGAGCTGTACAGTGTTTAGTGAATCTGCATTTCTTGTGTTATACACATGTCGATCAAACTGTTTCTATTTCATTACATAGGAGGTGCAGTGACGTTCAAACATTTAAACGTGCAATAATGTCTTATAAATAACTATGCCTGCTGCTCTTTTTGCAATCTGTGAATTACTTTATTTTTATTAATTGTATTTTCCCAGACTGAAATGCCGTAATAATATAACCCATACATGGTTGTTGTAAGTATAATTTAATTGTATTTCCGTTTAAGTGTATGCAAGTTTTGAGAGTAAAATTTGATTTAGAACTGTATCAAAATATTCGCGCCACGCAACAGCAATTCGCTCAATTCTATCGGAGGTGTTTCATACCAGGTCCGCTTTGAATGTATAAGTATCGGCTGATTTAGTCATCTAGTACAGTTCTAACTTGTAAGCCTATTGTCGAAGTTTTGTCGGTAGTGAACATCTTGTCACAAAATGACTGAACAAACCAAAGCTAAGAAAAAGGCTGCGCCTAAAAAGCCAGCATCTCATCCTACTTACATTGAGATGATCACTGCTGCCATAGGTGCTTTGAAAGAAAGAAATGGTTCTTCTCGTCAGGCAATCGCCAAGTACATTCAAGCCAACTACAAGGTTGATGCTGGTAACATGAACACCCACCTGAAGATGGCTTTAAAACGTGGTGTCGATAGCGGAAAACTAGCCCAACCTAAAGGCACAGGCGCCAGCGGATCGTTCAAATTGAACCAGGCTGCAGCCAAGGCAGATGCTGCTGCAAAGGCAAAGAAAGAAAAAGCTAAGAAGAAAGCAGTAGCAGATAAAGAAAAGAAAGCAGCAAAGAAAGCTACTAAAAAGGCTAAGAAACCAGCTGCCAAGAAGGCTAAAAAGCCAGCGAAGAAGGCTTCCAAGTCACCAAAGAAGGCAAAAAAATCGGAGAAGAAAGCGGCCAAGCCAAAGAAGGCGAAGTCTCCCAAGAAGGCCAAGGCTAAAAAGCCAAAGGCAAAGAAGGCTACCAAGTCTCCAAAGAAATCTAAGAAGTAGACGGTGTATTTCTCAACCCAAACGGCTCTTTTCAGAGCCACCATTTGAACAAAAGAGAACGATAGTTTTTCTGTTCACAGAAATAACAGATGAGTTTACAGTATACTAAGTATTAATATGATTAAAGGTTTTTTCTGTTACATTTTTCACAGATACATCTGAATTTTTAAATTTAGATATTTCATTTTTAACATAAATTACATTACAAATTATCTAGCGTTCTGATTAGTACAACCTTTTCCTTAAAAATCACACTTGTATTTCACATTTCATTTCAGAATATCTTGTGACAAAACACTAATGTTGTTCAAATATAATTACAGTATCGATGAAAAGAGGTTCAAATAACGGCTCCTTAATACAGAAGTCATTTCTTGATAATGTACAGTATTTATATGCTATACAGTATATTTTTCTACACAAATCTACAACTCCGTCCACTTCATGCTGATTATTATTTGTGACATGTATCACCCGTATATTTTATTATACAGCTTGACTTTACATCTTATATGTGTATATGGCGAGTAGTAGTGAGGAGGTGTTTACCTTGATTGGATTCTATGTCGTATAGCTATAGTAGTACAGTATTAACTGTTCCCTAGTAGTAGTACTGTATGTGAATTTGCATTCACACAATCACAATTTCTGCATTATATTTTATATTCCCATGGTTCAATCCCACTGTATGTGTACAGTATTGGAAGATTTAAATCTCCACTCACAACTCCCCAAAGCAATATCCTAATAAATAGTATTTGTCTGATAAGCAATGTTTCCCCCTCGTATAAGTGATGAGAAGTATACAGTATTCATATGCGTTTAGAGACCAAGAGATTACAGCTGTTATTATAGTTTATAAACAGATACTTGTCTTGACGGAAAACACCAAATAGGAATTAATCTACAGACTACACGGCGGAAAACTCCCGCCAAAAAGGAAGGGGAAGTTCATTAAAATATGAAACTTTAAAAGAACATAGGCCTAATAGAATAATTTTCAGGCCGATTTTCATTGATTTGTATTAAATGTTTGATTAAATTTAAAAATTAGATATTTCCCTCTCAAATAAATAAGGTCCCAAAACAAAGGCAAACATTTGTTGAAAATGGCGGAATTTCCACTGCTTTCAAAACTCCCGCTAAACAATAGCCCAAGGTCAGCCACAGTGCACAACTTGGCAGCGATACACAATAATTCATATTACGTCCGTATAGAGACTAGATCAATCTAGCGAATTCATGCTGAAGTTCATTTCGAATCGAACTTCGAATACAGCAATAAGTAATATGTCTGGACGTGGTAAAGGAGGAAAAGGACTAGGAAAAGGAGGCGCTAAGCGTCATCGTAAGGTGTTGCGTGATAACATCCAAGGTATCACCAAACCGGCTATCCGTCGTCTTGCTCGTCGTGGTGGTGTCAAGCGTATATCTGGTCTTATCTACGAAGAGACCCGTGGTGTATTGAAAGTATTCCTTGAGAATGTCATCCGTGATGCTGTCACATACACCGAGCATGCCAAAAGAAAGACCGTCACCGCCATGGATGTCGTCTACGCCTTGAAGAGACAAGGCCGAACCCTGTACGGATTCGGTGGATAAGCTACTCATCTTTCCCCAAACCAAACGGCTCTTTTCAGAGCCACGATTTGAACAAAAGAGAATGATTGCTTTCTGTTTTTATGTACATATTCATATCATTACGTATCATTTTTAGGTAAAAAAAATCAGTTCATCGGAGACGGTGTATGATGGAAGAAACATGCTCGTTTTTCGATTTTTAAAATGGTAAAACTGCCCTAACATAAGAGTAAAAGCATCAATTGAAATATCCAACAATGGTATTTCAACTTACAAATGTGTATTTAATTTGAATTTTTTAATTCAATAACTCATAATTTGCAAAAGCAGGCCCGTCCATGGTTCGGTGGTTTCAACGAACCCCCTTTTTTTTTTTAAAGAAGTGCCCTTTTGAAGGTGTATGTACAAATTTCTAGAGTGACATATCTGGTCGTCTAAAAATCGAGGTCATGAAAATTAGTACCGGTACTTTCTAATGTCTGTCATGGCGATAGGCTCTGAATAAATGAATAAGGTTCTGGTCTATAACAAAAATTGTAAATTTACCATTAAATAATATTGAAGATAAAAACGAGTCCAATAGTATAATGCTCCTGTTTTTTTGTCTGAAACCCCCCCCCCCCCTTTACAAATCCTGGCTACGGCCTTGAAATAATTTGTGAAATATTAAAACAAATATCTGTTTTCAACTAATAACTTGTATAGTAGGCCTATTACTCGTACTGTACATTACTGTAAATTCAATATATTATCTTAAGGGTAGACAAATATCTGTAAGTAGACTAAGGCATACTGTACTTATAAAAATAGGCTACTGTTTGTGTCCTAATCCTACATGCAAATGTTTTCCGTTTATTAAATTCAATTCATTTTTTTAAACAATTTCAATAAATACCGATAATTTCATGATACCCAATTTTGAATACCTGTATAATAGTGTCAGAATTGTTTTGTACTTTAATTTGTGAAATATTTTAAGTAAGAATACTACCTATTAACATGCAAATGTTATTTGTTCAAATTCAATGAACACATAATTCCGTGATACCCAATAATATACTTCAGTCTACAACCGAAATTCTAAGTACAAATGTACTTCAAATACTACTTGGAAATATTTAGTAGATGTAAAATATCTAGATGTAGAAACACATTTGTATTTTTGTATTTAATAGCACTTAATAGTCATTATACAGTATAGGTCTATACCTGTATTTTATATGAAACCTATCATATTTTTTTAAGTCTCAATTTGCGGTTATACAATATACCCCAATAATTAGTCTTTCTTTTTAAATGTTTTGATAAATGTATAGGCCTATATATATATATTATCTGTATTTTGTATGTTCTATTGTTAAAAACTAATATTATCATGTTATATCAAATTTCGACTGTATCTCGTATTGACGATTGTCGACAATACATTTTCCTTGCTTGATTCCCTGTTCTTTTCTGACACACTAAAGCCATTTTTGAAGCGAACGCGCCATACTTTACGGACGTGATCTTAGGCATTCGCTCAACCAATCATGTTGGTTGTTCTAAGAACGTCTCACTATATAAGCACATTGCATTTTCGAAATTGGACATCAATTTCAAATTGAAAATAACAATGGCTCGTACTAAGCAAACTGCTCGTAAATCTACCGGAGGAAAAGCTCCCCGAAAACAACTTGCTACCAAGGCAGCACGAAAAAGTGCACCAGCCACCGGTGGTGTCAAGAAACCTCATCGCTACAGGCCTGGAACTGTCGCTCTTCGTGAGATCCGTCGATACCAAAAGAGTACTGAGCTTCTCATCCGCAAGCTCCCATTCCAACGTCTAGTTCGTGAAATCGCCCAAGACTTTAAAACCGATCTCCGATTCCAGAGTTCTGCTGTCATGGCTCTTCAAGAGGCTAGCGAAGCTTACTTAGTCGGTCTTTTCGAAGATACTAACTTGTGCGCTATCCACGCCAAACGTGTAACCATTATGCCAAAGGACATCCAACTGGCTCGCCGTATCCGTGGTGAACGTGCATAAGCTGTCATCAGTGTTATTCCAAACCAAAAGGCTCTTTTCAGAGCCAAAACTTGTTCAAAAGAGAAGAAAGCATTTTTGTCTACAATATAACTACAGTTTCTTCATATATGCCTGTTTTTTTGTTTTTTTTTTTAAATAAAAACTAGTATGTACATGCTATGCATATGGTGTATAAAACAGGAGCAACGTATAATTTGTTTTCTTACATAAAAAATAAACTTTTCGTTGAAGGGCTATGCTTGATACGATTATATCTTCGTGGTATTTATTTATCTTTGATAAATACATATATAGGCCCCTATATATATATGTATATCGATATATATAAATACACGAATCTACATACGGTTACAGTAAATGATGTGGTACATGTTTTCACTCACATTTTCGTAGGGGGCGCCATTTCAATTTCTTTGGCATTTTACTTTAAATTTGGGCGCATGCTATTGTTGAAAATTCCTCCGTGGTTGGGCAACAAAGGCGTTGTAACAGTGTAGGAGCTAAATAGATTCTTTGAAAACCCTACATTTTTCTGCAACATTCTAGTGAAACAAATATAGAAGTTGTCGCTGATAATGCACTTGTCAATTGTAGACTAGTCCTGGCTCCGGGCCATAGCCGGTACTGAGCCGGGGACGTACATATAATTGTGTCCCCGTAATACTGGTACGTACCTAAAATTCACCCGTAGATGTAACCGGCATCGAAAGGGCCGGGGTGTAGCTGTCAAATGGTCTGGTCCTACACTAGCCTAGGCATTATCAGCAATTGCTGAACATCCATTTTCCATTGAATTGTATTATACTGTACTGATATAACGTAACAGTGTCTGAATTTTCGAGACCAACTCGTTCGTTTTGATTCAACCAGGGAGTTTGTTATTTAAATAACAACTCCCTGATTCAACTGTGTATAATTTTCTGAAGTTGGGGAGGCGGGGGTAATGGTGGTAGGAAATGTCTTGAATTAAAATCATACACATAAAAAATGACAGGGCAATTGCCTTCTCATAGGCCTACTTTTCCAAAAACCGCAAAGTCCACTGATTAATCTCAGATAAGATAGTATAATACATAACTGTAAATCATTTGATATAATCAGAGAGGCAGAATTAGCTATTTTAAAACAAGACCTGGAACTTTGCAATGAGACTGCAACTTGGAACACTTTCTCAGAATCTGATATTGATAATAAAATTCATTTTGTTCTTGGTGGGGAAAATAATCTCTTTAATGGTGATGTTCAATCTGCATTTGACAGATATTGTAAAACATTTGCTAAAAAAGCTTGGGATAGAAGATCAAATTTAAAATTAGGTTAAATGCATTGTTGCTTTAGTAATACATATATTTCTTTTTTTTTATGTTTTAAATTTAATTTCTTTTATATACTTTTATAACGCTTTGTATATATGTATAATATATATGTGTGTGGGTGTGTATGTGTGTGTATATGTGTATGTGTGTATATGTATGTGTATGTATATATGTGTGTACATGTGTATGTATGTTTGTATGTGTGTATATATATGTATATGTTTACTGTATGTATATGTGTATTTATATGTGTGTATGTATGTAGGTGTGTGTATGTGTGTGTGTATGTATGTATATATGTGTATGTATGTGTGTATGTATGTATGTATATATATATATGTATATATGTGTATGTATGTGAATGTGTGTGTATGTATATTTATATGAGTGTATATATGTATTTTAGCTTTAAGTTGTTGTTTTTACTATTTGTTCATTAGTTTAAGTTTGACTGCGCCACTTTCTTGTGTGCTGCCACTGATGTAAAAGTGTAATGTCAATAAATATTATTATTATTATTATTATTATTATTACATACTCGTGTCGGGATTCAATATTTCGACATTAATTATGTCATCCTAAATATTGAATCCCCGACACGATGGCGTGCATTTCGATACTCCTGACGATTAATGTCGAAATATGAATCCCGACACGATGGCGTGCATTTCGATACTTGGAGTATGTATTATCCTACTCATACTTCTGTATTAGAAAAAAGGCGTTGATTTTTATAACTTTTTTTTTTGGGAGGTGTAAGGTTGTAGGCCTGTAAAATACTTTTAATTGTCAAATCAAAACACAATTAAACGCATTTGCAAAGAATGAAACGGTGCGAGACCTCCCGGCATCTAGGTGCAATATTCTTGCTTGGCAAACAGCATATCCGCCAAATGTGACACATATCAAGATATTTAGCTTAAAAATACACGCGTACCGTATAGGCCTATTTGGAAAATGACTATCAGAAAACATGTTTGAACAAATAATCAACCTCTCTCACAATAACAGCCTATTTATTCACTTACTGATAAAAAAAATAAATAAATAAAAGTTCCATATCAATTTTTTTTAATCCCAAGATCCCAAGGTTTCAATAAAAATCCCAAGATCTTGGGATAAATCCCCAAGCAGTGGAAATTTGTGAACCGTGTATTTGATCGGCCTAGTTTGCGTCAAAAAAAAAAAAAAAAAAACACCAGTGAGCCGAGGCTGGGAAATCTGTTTCTACTGCTCTGTATTAATTTTCTTATTTAATATCTGTTTTGATACTGAACAAATTCTATCTATCAGTTAAATCAATATATCGATTTTCCTTTTTCTGTGATCAATCAATACACTCTTCCTCAAGTAAGCTTATTTCCTTGGCTAGCTCCTGCCTAGATGCTTCTCCCATGGACCTATTAATAAGATTATTAATATCATTGATAGGTCCATGCTTCTCCGATTAAGACAGAGGCTAGACCTTCAATTCAAATTGTGTTTTGTGTGTCTCGCTTAATTGCTACAGTAGGCCTTATCCAATCTTTATTAGCGGGGTATCTCACTGGTAGTTGATGTGAATTTAAACGATGCCCCGCATTACCGGGACCTTCACATGCATGTAACAGTTTCGTAAATACATCCCCGGCTAAGTCCCCGCTAGGCCCGGGACTACAAATGACAAGTGCATAATAAAGGAGAGACGGCTTTTAATTTTCAAAATAATTAAACCATTTCAACGGGAAGATAGAACCATTTATATAGACACCTTAAGCATTAATACTCATTACAGTTATACCGTTTTCAAATTGGTTTTATGTTGCAATAAAATTAGGGTTAAACTGATATAAAGAACAATAACTATTTTTAGCATAGTTTTTAACTGTTTGTGCTTCGTCGTATGGGTGTCTCTAAAAGAAGTAATTTATGACAACCGATATATCCTTAACTTAATCGACTATATTAATTATTTAATAATACTGTTTACTTATAAAAATCTGTAACTGAGTGCAGTACTTCCGTGCATCACTAGCGCCAAAGGGAATAGGACAGTTATTAGCAGACGATTGGGTAAAGAGAGAGCTAAGCTGGGACTGTCTCGTCTGTGATTGGTTAAACCAATAGGTGCTAGAAGTCAAACGCAACACCCGTGCAGGCTATATAAACGAATCTAATCGCCGAATAAACATCATTCTTGATTTTAGTAACCGAATAGCGAATACATTATGTCTGGACGTGGTAAAGGAGGAAAAGCTAAGGGAAAGGCCAAGAGCCGATCAAGCCGTGCTGGACTTCAATTCCCAGTTGGTCGTGTCCACCGATTCTTGCGAAAGGGTAACTATGCATCTCGTGTCGGTGCTGGTGCCCCAGTCTACATGGCTGCCGTACTCGAGTACTTGACTGCTGAAATCTTGGAGTTGGCTGGTAACGCTGCCCGTGATAACAAAAAGAGCAGAATCATCCCCCGTCACCTTCAACTTGCCATCCGTAACGATGAAGAGTTGAACCGTCTTCTTGGAAGTGTGACCATCGCACAAGGAGGTGTACTACCAAATATCCAGGCTGTACTTTTGCCAAAGAAGACCCAGGCCAAAACCAAGTAGATTTTATGAACCATCTTTTCAAACCAAACGGCTCTTTTCAGAGCCACCATATTCACTAAAGAGATTTGGATACTGATACTGATTATTGCAGTATTTGCTCAACAAAAACGTTAACAACAAAGCTCATAGCAAAGATTACGTAAATGTGTATCGCACAAACGCCTAAACGTACATTAGTACTATTTGAAACTCAACAAAGCCAAGCACAAAGAACACGCCCTTTTTTTGTACCATCTTAACATTCTGAAAGTAATCATTAGTTTAAAACATTCAAGGATAAAAACACAGAAATGCAAAAAGCAACTTATTGCCACTGTGGTCCCTAAATAAGAATACTAAAATTACAGAATAATAGAACAGAAAAACTAGAGACATTACAATAAATACATTTAAAATACTACATATATGGATTCAATTTTCAAAAAATTAACATCATTTATTTATTTTTTTTTTCATCCATCAATAGCTGTATCAATGAATGAGAATCTACTAGGCCTATGCGTACCAGATTTTGGTTTATAATTTGATATTCTAGAAGTAGAAAATCTAGTTCTGAAGTTGGTTGATTAACTCAATACCATACATACATGTACATATTAATATTTCCATGTACACATACCATTAAAACATGGTACATATTATATTTAATTATTTTTTTAAACAAAGTACATATTTGTTTTTGTGTTGAAATACAAAATCAATTTGATTACCTTTTAAATCCGGGAACAGTGAAATTGCTGATTTGTTTTATTTATAATTTTTCACCATTTTTTAAAATTTTGCTTACTTTCAATAGTGGTGTTTATTCCTTTGATATTTTTTGGATTTAGTTCTACAATGCATCTTTATTATTTCATTATTGCCTTAGCATTGTAATTTACCTTATGAATTCATTTTTTCCTTATAGTCTTTTTTTTGTTTTTTTTTTAAATACAAAAACTAAAAATAAAATAAATGACGGTAGTAAATGTCATTAATAAAGGAATGATCCATTTCAGAATAGGGATGTTAGTTAAGACGCTATTACACCCAGTTAATCCCACTCATGGTAATTATTGGTGTTCATAGTATAATTAGAAAAGTACAGTATCAGTTATTTCTTCATTGTATTAACTAGCCTAATTATTTATTAGGTTGTATTTATTTTACTAAATTTACTATAGAGCATCATTATTTTTTGTTTGTTTCTTTTAAAGTATAATAGTACATGAAATGCAATCTGGTTAGGTTGTATTTATTTAAGTACAGTAAATACAATCTATTAATACCTGTATTTATTACGTTAATGTATTAAGTATTATAGTACATAATAATAACAATAATAATACAACCTATTAATAAAAAAAGTTCACTTATTTCTTTATTGTATTAACTAGGCCTAATTTATTAGGTTGTGTTTATTACTAAATTCACTAGCAGAGCATCAAAATTTCTGCTGTATTTCTTTAAGTATTATACATTTAGTTAAATATATATAATAAAAGTAAATACAATCTAATAATTAGGCCTAAGGCTGTATTTATTTAATTTAATGTACTATATTATGATACTTTAAGTTTCTTGTATTAATTATTGTACATTTAATAACAACCTAATAAATCAGCTCAATATATAATTTTTAATTTATAATACTTAAAATAAGATTTGTTAATTAAATTGAATTAGTATCAATTAATTTTATTATTTATACTTATTATTTATTCAAAATTTCTGTTTGTTTTATTTGTAAGTATCATAGTACATTTACTTGAATAAATACAATCTGGTTAGGTTGTATTTAACTAAATACAATCAATAATACATGTATTTATGTAAATGTAAGTATTATAGTATACTGAGAGAGACAGTTCTGAGTTATAGGCCTATCTTTATACTGTATTTGCATATTTAATTATATCCCTTATAACCTTAATCTATTCATTATCATTTTCGCAGCATCTGCAAGAATGATAATGAATAGATTATCATTATCATTCTTGCAGCATCTGCCTTCCTGTATGTTGTTTGTTCTGTGACGTCTGTACTTTTTTGTCTTTGTCCTGCACTTTTTTATTTAATTTATTTATATTTTTTCATTAAGGTGGCCAATTTCCTGTACGAGCCTAACTTCCCTCCATTCCTGATTTTGTTTCCTTTTCTTCATTTGGTGAAATGAATACTGCATTATCTAATATTATTGAAAAACTAAACTTGCGTCTTAAGCAATGATAGATCCAGAGTTGTCATCATAGTCAAAATTTAAACTTTATTTCGCCAATGCTAGTGTGAAGTCGAATAAAAAACTGTAAAATGTTTGTGTAACTTATGTTATTGAAACTTACAACTTATTTCATCTTGCATCATCATGATTAGTATAGTCATATGTACTTTTTGAATACAATAGGTTAATAACTGTAATAATAATAATTAACATTTTAATGAATATTAAGTTTATAAACTAGATATCATGCGATTTATAAACCGGCGCAGTTATTAATTAACCGACTCTACACAGTAGTTTGGGAAACTAACGCCATATAGGAAGAGAAAGTTCATTAAACACATGGAACGAATAGGGTAGACTATTTTTCCCTCTCAAATTAAAGACAAGCCCGAAAACAAAAGCAAACATGTTTGTCTAGAATTTGGCGCAAATCAACACAGCTTCAAAACGCCCACAAAACAATTAGCAGTGTCAGTGCATGACGGTGATACTCGATAATTCATACTACGTCCGTATAAAGACTATATAGATTTAGCAAATTTACCTCGAGGACATTTCGAATCGAATTTCGAATACAGCAATAAGTAATATGTCTGGACGTGGTAAAGGAGGGAAAGGACTTGGAAAAGGAGGCGCTAAGCGTCATCGTAAGGTGTTGCGTGATAACATCCAAGGTATCACCAAACCAGCTATCCGTCGTCTTGCTCGTCGTGGCGGTGTCAAGCGTATTTCTGGTCTCATTTACGAAGAGACCCGTGGTGTATTGAAAGTATTCCTTGAAAATGTCATCCGTGATGCTGTCACATACACCGAGCATGCTAAAAGAAAGACCGTCACCGCCATGGATGTCGTCTACGCCTTAAAGAGACAAGGCCGAACCCTTTACGGTTTCGGTGGATAAGCTGCCCCTCTTCCATCAAACAAACCAAACGGCTCTTTTCAGAGCCACCATTTGAACTAAAAGAGAATGATTGCTTTTCACCTTATACACATTATTATTGGTGGCCTATACTATACACCTACATTTACATGTACAATGGTTGAATGGAATAGGGTCAGGCCAGCCACTATATTATTTGTTCGTTTTATTCGTAACTCGTCCTCGATATTTTGAGGGTTTATTTTGTTTTCCTTCTGAAAGTTATCAAGTAGTAACAATCAAGGATAAAAGCTACGAATATAGTTAATTATAGATATGCAAATACAGTTTTTGTTACTCAGTGCCATCTCTTAGCTAACAGACTTCCAGTAGAAGACACCCACAATTATCAAAGAACAATGTGATTCTTTGTTTTTAATTGCCCACAGGCTAACTCCGGCCATCAAGATTTAGATGAGGCCCACGCAATATTGCTAAAAATCATTTTACCGGCCGAGTTTCTGTTAATAGCAAAGCTACCAACTATTCTGGCATATTAACAAGTCTGGCTGTTTTTCTGAGTGCTTGCTGTATCTAGTGGCGTGGAGTATTGACATGGGAGGAAACTAATGCTGGAGATAAAGGATTAAGGGTATACGGACATAAACCACCCAGGACATAAACCACCCAGGACATAAACCACCCAATTGGAATATACCATTGTTAAAGTGGGTGGGCAACAGGGTGAACAATGTTGGGTGGTCTTGCTTTTATCTAGCTTTACAATAGGACTTAATTTGCTATTGTACACTCCTATTATACGCCTTTAATTCATTCATTTCTTCTGACAACATGCATGTTGGTTAGAATCATTGTAGATTTTAGTAATCACTGTGCTTAAAGTTTAATTTTTTTTTTAGTTTTCTAAATTTATTTTAATTTTTAAAATGACTTACATTAAAAATCACTTTAAATTAAATACTTCCCTTTAATAATAATAATAAATTTATTTTAGTAATCACTGTGCTTAAAGTTTAATTGTTTTAATAGGTATATTTTAGTTTTCTAAAATTATTTTCTAAAATTATTGCACAATGGGTAAAAATAAGAATATAAATGACTAATTCTATAAAAAAGTATTTATCATACATGTATATGG